CCCCTGCCGCTCCAGGTCTGCAAAGAGAACGGCTAAGCAACGCGTTGGGCTGGGGCCAGCACGCTGCGGGAGCTTGCGGGCCCACAACCAACCATCGCACCCCACATCTGCAGCAGGAGGAGGTCTCCTCACCACCCAGTCGGGCCTGATCTTAGCATTTCACTCAAGATCAAACTGCACCGAAGGAAAAGGCCGGATTCTCCTGCCACCCGCACAGAGCTGGTCGATGCTCTGCACCCACTCAGCCTGCTTTGGCTTTGGAGAAGGCACAGGCAATGCTCTGCACCAGCTCGATATTCCTAGAGATGAGAAGATGGGCATTTCTGCTCCCCAAGCTGGACCCCCCTACGAGAGAGAGCGGAGAAGCCCCTCCGGGCAGTAGGAACTGCCTCCTGAGCTTGTCTGGGTCCCCTCCCCAGGAGCCAAGCTCTGCCCTGGGGACAGGGAGCAGGACCGCCCGGGTCAGGGAGACATCTCCCTCGACCCTGGTCTGTGCGAGCGCTGGAAGACAGAGGTAGCACAGTAACCTCATTTCTCCAGGGCAGTAGGGGACTAGGACAGCCCAGCTAAGAACAGGTCCCACAGGACACGGAGTGGAGGGACACACTCTGCTGGTTTTCTTCTTTTTCCCTCGTTTTTATTTTTTTTGGCAGTGGCAGGGTTGGCTGGAAATATTAAGCAAAAACATCAGCAGAGGAAACACACCTGGGGGGGTTGGGGACAGGGGGGAGATGTGGTTGGCTATTTTTTTGCATTAAAAGGAAAAATACACCTCAGCTAGCAGCGCCCGCTTCCTAACGCAGACCGAATCGGACTCGCACCCCCAGCACCCTGCCCGCAGCAAAGGGCGCAGACTTCGGGCTGTCAAACGCCCAAGCAAGCACTCGCTGCGAGGCGAGGGAAAGGGGAAATTCCACACAAGCCCTCAGATGGCAAGGGATTGGGATGCATTTGTTTTGGGGCAGCGTGCCTTGAACAATAACCCCGATACGGTTCACAGGTTGAAGGGAAGTCCCACCAGTTCCCAAGAGCAGCAGCAGGGTGAGAAGCCTCACGAGGCGCTGACTGTACCTGCCAGGGTGTAAAGAAACTGTTCCTCTCCTTGCTCTGTCTGGTTTTTCCTGTTGTCCAAAACCTTCTTGACGGTGTCCATCAGGCCAAAAGTGTGGGCAACGTTGTTCAGGACTGCAGCATCTGCGAGGAAAGTGCACAGGGATGAGTGTCTAGGCCCAGAGGCGGGAATCCATCACGGACTCGGAAGATGCTCGTATTAGACCAGAAAATTTCTGCTGTTTTTTGTAAAACTGTCTCTGCTCTTTCACAGGGGCTGGCTGACAAGGGCAGACCCAGCTCCTGCATCCTTCTGACATCCAAGGACTAAATAATCCCATTCACATGATAAAGAAAGTGAAACAGAGATGTGTCACCCAAGCAGTTCAAAATCGCTGCAAATGAAAGCATAATTTGCAATCACAGAGACACAAACGAGCTCTCCACCTACAAATCACCACCCCAAGCTGCTGACAGTGTCATTAACATGCCACCTCCACTGAAAGCTGTGCAAAATTTCTGTTCTAATCCACCGACTTCAGTCACTCACAGCTTCCAAAAGCTGCCACCTACCAGACCCAAAGATCCGCCAGCCCAAAGCTAAATTAGAAAATAAATAAAAAAATATGTCCTGGGTAAAGTGAAGTTTGGGGCTACACAGATGTTGTCTCAGCAAGAGCACCAAGAAGAGGGGCTCTCGTACCCTGTGCTCACAGGGGCATGTGCTGAACTGGATTAGAGAACTGATCCGAGCTAAAAATAACCCTGAAGAAGGGAGGGGAGTTATTTTTAGCTTGGATCAGTTCCCTCATCAGGTTCAGCCCCAAAAACAGGTTTTCTGGCACAAGCGAAGGCAGAACGAGAAGCGAGGGGGCAGGACCTGTTTAAGCCTGCACTGTCACGGAGAAACATGTCTGAGTAACTCCGGTCCGAGAAGGGAACCCGGGCAGGCTTTCACGAGGGCCGGGCGCCCAGGACAGTCGCCCGACGGCCTCAGCAAGCTGCCAGGGTCGTTGTGCTCGGGGAACAGGGCAGCACGTTGTGTCCTCGTGCCCCGCAGAGGTGTAAGCGAACCCACTTCACAGCTGAGCAGGCTGAGACCGCAGCCAGACGCAGCTCCCACAGCTCAGCTAGCGAGCGGTAGCTCACTCACCACCCCGACTCCACACCTTGGAACGGTGGGGATGGAGCCTTGGCATCTTTTTTTCGCCTGCAGCTGCCCTTCTGAGCATCCTTCCCCACCGCAGAGCCAGAGGGTCACAACCTACCTGTCATCTGGAAGGGAGACTGACCCAGCCTCTGCTGGACCCCTCTTAGGACTTCTTCTATCTCCTTCTGGATGTTGCATACGACCTCTTCCATCAGCCCCACGTCAGCTATTCCTTTCCAGAACATCAGTGTGTCCTCTGGCACATGGAGAGGGAAAAAGAAGTTAACATGTACAATGATTTCACATCTTTCCCATGGGGCTACCTCAAACTGTTCAGGCAAGAGTAACTTCGCAAGACAAATTCTAATTTGGCCATTGGGGTGGATGAGACACGCAAAAAAAAACTCCCAAAGAAGCAAAACAGACCCAGGCAGCAAACCAGCCGTGTGTTTTCAAGCACACCAAGGCAACACTTCACTGCCTCAGTTCATCTTCACAAGATGCAGAGCTTAAAAATCTTTGTGGAAATTCTGCCTAAGCTTCCGTACTGATCTTAAGAGGGAACGTAAGGCACCGCAGCCGGAGAGACGCAGCCATGAGAGCTGACAGGGTGCTAACCACTAACACGGAGCGCTAACGAGACACTGCTCACGGATGCTTTCAGTCTCGCTCCAGGCTGGCAGACATTTACATCCTCAGAATGAACAAAAAAAACGCCCCTCACTGTAACTACTAGCAACCGATCCGGGGATCAGCCATCAGCCACAAGGTCATGTTGCCGTGAGGAGCTCTGTTTGGCAGGGCCCCGGCACGCCTGGGAAGTGCCGGGATAGCCAAGGGGCTGGGGGACAGCTCTGTCACGGCCTAAACTCTCCTTATTTTCAGGATCTCAGTCTCCAAAACGTAACAGGTGAGGAGAGCAGAAGAAAACACCCAAGAAGCAGCCTGAGCTTACCCGAGATCTCATCCGTGTCCTTCTTCATGCCTTCCTCAGTGGCCATGGTGACGGCAGCCGTCAGAGCCGAGTTCCACTCAATCCCCTCCTCCATGCTCTCCTCCGACAGCGCGATCTGGGTGATGCTCCCTGCCAGAGAGGCAACGTCAGCTCCCTCTGCGGCACCCGGAGTGCCTGCCCTGAATCCCTGCTTTGCTTTCCACCCCCCTCACCCTTCCCAGGCAGTTTTTCACTCTCGTGGTCAGGTTGTTTGTGCCTGGCTTCTTTCAACCAAATCAGCTAAAAGCAAATATTGCTGCTTCTCATTGGAACTGTGATTGTGAAAGGCTCTGGAGCTTCTGGAGGGAAAACCACGTGCCCCCCAGAAAGCAAACTTGAGTCCTGACATACAAGGATCAGGCACAGATCAGAATAAAAAAGGCAACGAATAAGCCTCAGCCCAGCCACCCTTCTCCCCTGGCATCATCATCAGGGAGCTCTGCACCCGAGAGATGCCCTAATCTCTCAGGAAACGACAGGGTCAGGGTCCAAGCTGGTTTAAAGAAGGGAAACGGAACTGACTCAGTTCTAATTTTCTGGATCACATTTGCGACTAAGCCAACGTGCAGCCACTGTACGGTTTTACCATGTGGCCATGGTGCTTTCCAGGAGATTCTCCCCAGCCTACGGACAGTTCTGCCATCTCAGCCACCCAGGGCCTTAGAGAAACGTAACCTACCCCGCTGAGCGATGCCATACGGTTGGGAGTAGTCTTCTCCCCTAACCTCAGCAAAGAGATCACTTTCTACTCTGAAGCACGGGATTCGCTGAGAATTTGCAGCTGGAATGACAATGGAATCATGTCCAGCCATCACACCACGTTTTCGGACTTCCAGGTGATGCAGAGCAGGCTGCTCCAGAGGACGCCAGCACGCCTAGATTCGTTTCTGAGCATCAACCCATCTTGTGCCCTTGGAACAGACCCTCAAATCGGACATCAGAGAACACCGTACAAGCTCTCAGGTGTTCGCTCACACGGTGACCCCAGAACAGGGACCCCTCCAAGGTGAGCCTGGCCTCGCTCCCTCGCTGCCTCCAGCCACTGCTCAATCCCGGCTGTTTTCCAGCCCTCGCGCTACCGTGGAGCAGAGCTCCCTGACAGAGGCTGCCGAGACCTCTCCGAGCGGACACGAGAAGCGTTCCCAGACACCAGAGCAGTCTCCTGGGGTGGGACTGCCCTGCTAACGCCTGCGGAGAAGCTGTGGAGTGGGGGGTGGGGACAAGCCGATCCAATTAGCCCCAGGAGGGAGAGGAGCGTCAGAGGGGAACGCCGGCGGCATTGCTCACTGGTTTCCTACCGTCAGCTGATGTCGGAGTCTGCACCACGCTCTGCTGCCCCGGCACCGGTGCTCTGGCGCTGCTGATCAGGAGATCAAACTTGGTGCTTCGACAGGTGTTGGTGCAAACTTTATCGTGCTGGTAGAAGTCGATTTGCCCCGAGTCCATCATCTTCCTGTGCAGGGACAGGGGAGAGAACCAGGCTCAGCTCTAATTTCAGCCTGGAGACAAAAGGGAGCATGCCACATAGGAATGCCACGGCCACGGGAAGGATGGAGAAAGGGAGACCCAGTGCCACTCTGCATACAAAACACGTCCTGCAGGGCTTCCAAATGGCAAATACAAGCCATGCCCCAGCTTCACATACAGGGCTCCAGCCCTGTTCCAGCCCCACCAAGCACCAGGTCCCCCAGGCGAGGCCACTCCTGTGCAGCATGAGGAATCCTGCGCCTCGGACCAGCGGGCCAGGATCTCTGCAGGCTGCTGGCCAGGTAACGTGAGCGGCCCAGAGACCTCCCGGGGACTGCAAAGCAGACAAATCGCCTGCTCGGGATCCTGCAGCTGCAGCGACGAAGCCCTGGAGCTGGACACAATGGCAGGCAAATCAAATACCTCAGCATGATTCCTCCGAGGCGAATGGCTCTCTTCCAGTCCTTGAGGGTAGACTTCCCAGCCAGGTGAACAAAATGCTTCGGGCTGATCAGCTGGTCATTGAACTGGCAACGAGATAAACCAAGGCTCAGCAAGCACAGGATAACACCACTTCGGAAGACAGTCCTGGGACATCCAACACAGCCCGTCCACAGCGCATCTAAGCCCCCCCCTACTTCCACCCAGAAAGAGGAGCTGCTTCTCCAGTCCCGACCGGCTTTGCTCCCCACGGCACAGCAATGCTTACAGCTCCAAAATGGCTGCTTGCAGGCAGGACCTGCCAGCCACCGTCATTTGAACCACACGGCTCTAGCCAAGAACAGCCCTGAAGGCTTTCGTATGGAGCATGAACCAAACGAGCTCCTTCTGCGATCGTGTACAGTCATCCTGGAGATCATTATGGGAGACTCCTGCTAAATCCAATAGCCAAGCAACATCTAGCTGCCACAGGTATTCACTCGGGCATCTGTTCTGCCTGCTCCAGCGACTGCGACAGTTCCTGCCGAGGGTCAGCAAGAGAGCGCTCTCGCCGCAGCAGCACATGGGACTCGGCCCCAGCGCGTCGGCTGTTAGATCAGCACACTCGCGAGCGGCAAAAGGTAATGGCAAGATTCGTCTTCTCGATGCAGCCTGCTCACCGAGGAAGCGACAGG